CAGAGGCACTCATCCTGGCTGCTCAGGAGCAGGCCCTGAGCACCAGAGCCATTGTGGCCCAGATATACCACACCAGACAAGACCCAAGGTGTAGGTTGTGCAAAGAGGCACCTGAGACGATCCAACACATAACTGCAGGGTATAAGATGCTGGCAGGGAAAGCCTACATGGAACGCCATAACCAGGTGGCTGGCATAGTCTACCGAGACATCTGTGCAGAGTATTGACTGGAAACCCCAAGGTCAAAATCGGAAACACCTCCGAAGGTGGTGGTGGGATCCAGACTGACAAGATGGTAAAGGCAAACCAACCGGATATCGTGATCATAGATAAAGGGCAGACGAAAGCCATTGTAGTGGATATAGCAGTCCCAAGTGATGGAAACATCAGAAAGAAGGAACACGAGAAACTCGAGAAATACCAAGGGCTCAGAGAGGAGCTGGAGAGAGCCTGGAACGTAAAGGTGACAGTCTTGCCTGTTGTGGTTGGAACACTCGGGGCAGTGACCCCCAAACTAGACGAGTGGTTGCCACCGATCCCGGGCATCACACACACACACACGGCGTGACGATCTTTGCACCCACCCCCACACACACACACACCCCCACACACACACACACACACACACACACACACACACACACACACACACACACACACACACACTTTTTTTTTGTTGTTCAGGAAAATGAAACTGCCGTTCATTTCCAATTACATCAAACAGTTTTGAAGCAATCTGTAAAGTCATAAACCCACATGTCTTGGGGTACACATCAGTGACAGAACTAGAGACCAAGTTTGTTGTGTGGCCGGTGTGGACAAAGGCATGTCATCGGGATGTCCCGATCCAGTCATGTGAGAGGAAATTGTATTGTAATTCCTATACCATTCCCCTAATTTGGATGTAAATACCCCCAAATCAAAGCTCAGAGTCTGTATTTATAGCACACCATGATTGTTTCAGTTCTCAACTCAACTGTATTTATAAAGCACTTTAAAACAACCACCACTGTATCCAAAGTAAGAAAATAATTTTGGCAATATGGTGTACCAGAATATAAGCACTCGTTTTTTGTTTTTTTTATTTGACTCTGTCACATGTGTGAATTTATTCATTCATTCATTTTCCAAAACGCTTGATCCTCACTAGGGTCGCTGGGGGTGCTGGAGCCTATCCCAGCTGTCTTCGGGCAGTAGGCGGGGGACACCCTGAATCATTTGCCAGCCAATCGCAGGGCACACAGAAACGAACAACCATTCACACCCACACTCACACCTCGGGACAATTTTGAGTGTTCAACCAGCCTGCCATGCGTGTTTTGTGGGAGGAAACCGGAGGACCCGGAGAAAACCCACGCAAGCACGGGGAGAACATGCAAACTCCACACAGGAAGTTACGGAGCTGGAATTGAACCCGGTATCTCTGCACTGTAAAGTCAACGTGCTAACCACTCCACTACCGGGCCGCCTTGTCTGGATTTAATTCAAGGATTATGAATGATGTACATTTTCCCCTGTCACGTTTGGGCATTTCATATCCTTCCACAGGGAACAGAACAGTTTTTAAATGTTGAGGAAAAACAAGCAACATGGATGAACATGCAATTTGCCAGTGAATTCATTTTCAAACCAGCAATGTGGAATATTCTGTAAAACCTCTTCCTGAATCTGCCATTAACTTAAAAAAAGATTCAATTTGTTTAGGAAATGGCAATAATTTTCTCACTGTTTTTTGTATTGGTAGGACCATTATGAGGAGCAGTCTTCGTACAATCCAGCCACGTGTTTTCTCCAAAAATCCCCAACTGAGCTACATGTAAGTGTCCACACTCAATTAATGTCACCTTAGACATTGCTTGTCAGAGAACCAAGTCATTGGTTATGTTATCCGGAATTATTTTGCCTGTGTGGTCAACAGCCATACACCTGGTACCGGACAAGGAGAAGCCTGTCTGCAAAGGCTTGCTCTGAAGCTGCTTCCTTGAAGCATCAGGGTTAACATGCATTCAAATGTTTTCTATAAAAGATTCAAAATAATATAGAAATAAATATAAAGGAAAGGGGCCCGATCTCCCAATTTCTAAAATGAATAAACCAAAAGTGGTCCTCCATGTGCAGTTTTTAAATATATCAATATTGGCAAATGCAACAGATCTGGTCTAAAAGATTCCGATTGTTATGTTTATGGTCTTCTTGACCACCTGATTATAGTCTCTCACCTGTTTCATCTTTCTTTCTTTCGCTTGTGATGTGTTTTTTCAGGGCGATACCCATCATTAGTTTTCAAGGAGGTCGATCACTGATATTTGAAGCCGATCTTCAAATACAAAAAAAAAAGGAAAAAAATTTGTTGCATTTATATAAGGATAAAAATTCCAGCCGTTGTCTGTTAAAATGCCTTTATACACGTTTATTAAACGGCTTTTGTGATTTTAAGGTATGTTAGTTTTTTTAGATCTTAGAAAAAATGTATCAAAAAACTTGTGATACATGTGCTGATAATCTTATCAACAGACTACACTATAACATATTCACATATAGTAATTAAATGTGTTGTCAAGTCAAGTACAACTTTATTGTCAAACGTGCTGTATGTGCAACATACAGCACAAATGTGTGTGTGTGTGTGTGTGTGTGTTTGTGTATTTGTGTGTTTGTGTGTGTGTGTGTGTGTGTGTGTGTGTGTGTGTGTGTGTGTGTGTGTGTGTGTATACAGCATATATATGCGTGTCGACCCCACTGTGCAGAGGTACCAGATTCGATTCCAGCTTGGGCCTTCCTGTGTGGCGTTTGCATGTTCTCTTCGCGCCTGCGTGGATTTTCTCTGGGTACTCAATTTTCTTCCCACATTCTAAAGACATTTCTGGCAGGTTAATGGAACACTTTAAATTGTCCCTAGGTGTGACTGTGAGAACGGAAGGTTGTTCGTCTATGTGTGCCCCGCGAGTGGCTGGCAACCAGTTCAGGGTGTACACTACCAACTGCCCAAAGACAGCTGGGATAGGCTCAGCAGCCCCTGCCACCCTTGTCAGGAGAAGCAGATCAGAAAATGCATGTGTGCTCACACTTACGCCTCGGGACAATTTAGAGTGTTGAATCAGTCTGCCATGCATGTTTTTGGAATGTGGGAGAAAACCGGAGTAGCCGGAGAAAACCCACGCAGGCACGGGGAGAACACAGGAAGGCCAGAGCCAGAATCGAACCCACGACCTCTGCACTGTGAAGTTGAGGCACTAACCACTCGCCCACTGATCTGCCCCACAGCAAAACGAAAATTAAATTTCCCTTTTGAGGGATAAAAATGACAAGTACGACTCAGCGCGGTTTGATGTATTTCTTTTATATTCTCTCCATCAGAAACTTGTCCAAGAACCCAATGCTGACAAAACTGTCCTGGCAGATCTTTGAAAATCTTCAAGTCATGGAACTGTAAGTTCACATTTTTCACAGACTACTCAGTCAATAGATGGTGGTTGAGTGGTTTTTCATGTCTGCCTCACATCACAGAGGTTGGCCCTCTTGTGTGCTCTCCATGTGCTTGCATACCTTTTCTCCAGGTTGTGCGGATTTTTCCACAGTTTTATATGTGCTCTGTGATCAGACAGCTGACATGGCCCTTCCTGCAATGACAGCATTTTGGGACTCCCCTCCACAGGGCCTCTTAAGTAGCTACTGCAGGCTGGTGGCTAGTCGGGGATCCGAAAGACAATTGATATTGTTCCAAATCAAAGACACAACTGGAAAACACTCCAGGATTCCAAAATCTCCTTGATCCCCTTGTTAGCACAAGCGAATGTCCACAAGTGGCAGTTAGTCTTCTGTTATGGTGCGCACCAACCCAGTTCAGGTTTTACATGCAAATACCTCATGAATATGTTTATAGCATCAAGGCTTTTTGACTTTGTTAATAAGCTCTGTTTGAATAAAACCTTGTTCGGAAACTCAGTTTCAACAACAACAACAATCATAATACAACAGTAATAATAATAAATACAATTATTAAGCAAGGAAAGACAACCTTATTCTTCACACAACCAAAAGCACATCTAAAATTGAGAACAAACAGAACTGAAGACATCCATAGAGCAGAGAGGAAAAAAAAAGTATCTTAAAAAAATACTAAAAGAACGTACATTGACACATGTAACCAAAAGATTGAAAGACATTTGGTTTGGATAATGGATGAGATGAAACGATAGCTTTCTGAAATACGAAAAGACCGTTGATTAAAATTGATTTTTAAACTGCCTTAAAGGAGAAGTCAACTCCAAAGTTGTCTTTGCAATAACATGTTAGATGTGCCCCCACTAGTCTAAACATGGCATTCTGATTCATAATGCATTTGAGGAATATGGAAATCAACAGCAAAATCTCAGGGGGCAACCACGTTGCCAGTTGCTGCCGTTTGTAAATGACATCACACTTAATCAGGGCTCAGATAAAGACCAGTCACAGCTCAACCTTCCAACGTCACATGACCAAACACTGAAAACAGGTGAGGTGTGATTGGTCATTCACTGAGACCGGCGCAAATGCAATGTAATTTTCACTTGACAGCAAGTTGCACAACTGACCTGAGATGAATTAAAATGGGTGGATTTTGCTGCTTAGTCCATATTCCACAAACACAATATTGATGAAAATGCTGTATTCAGACTTGTGGGGGTACAAAGACCATGTCAAGAAAATTTGGGGCTTGATTTACCATTTAAAAACTTCTGCTTCCCACGTTAGTTTGTAGGCACCAGCTGCTCAGCTCCTGCTTTTGCCTGCATTCCTTCAGCTGAAAACTGCTTTTTAGTTTTATTTCTCTGGACCCCTCCTGGATTCTTTGGGTGTACACATTTTATTTTTCAACATTTTTGTTAACTCGTCATGAGAACGGCCCTGATAATTATCACAAGACTGCTATTAGCAACAAGACGAGAAGAGAGATGCCTACTGTCTCCACTGCTGAATTCCACAAAGTTCTTCAGAAGATGGCAATGCTGGAGACAAGTATGCATCACTTCAAAATGTTTGTGGAGCTGATTGGGAAATCAGGAAATGAGACCACGCAATCAATATCTCCAAACAGTGGACACAAGCATATTGACAAGAGGCTAGCTCCATCCATCCTTGGAATTTGCTCGGAGCAAAGACAAAAGTGAGGAGTTAGCCAGGCCTTATTGTCAACAAATGAGGAATTCCGTTGTCTCATGCAAAATGTCACATCAACACCCAAAAATAAATCACTCTTGAACTTTGTCACAGACAAGAAAAAGGAAAACATGTTTCATCTTTCAAAACACAGGCAGTGAACTTCTGCATTTTCACGATCGTAAAGTGCACTGAAATGGCCTAAATTTTCTCCAAAATGGACAGGGCACCTACGAATGCGGGGTACCTTATGTATGCACTTAGTTCCAAAACATGTGACTGTTGCTGTGTGACTTTGATAAGCGCTTCGCTTGACTGACTGATGGTGTGCCGATACGCTAGTTAGATAGAGGAGAGGCAGACGTAATTGAGGACAGCATGCGGATGTTGAAGGAGGCAAGGGGGATGTGTGCATGTGAACGAGGATGCTAAAGGCACACCCCCAGTAGGTTTAAAGTGACAATGTGCATTGTGCAAAACATCAGCTTGATTAGGACCCCCGAAAATGGCACCTACGAAGAGATACGTTTACAAAGCACAATTTAAACTGCAAGCTATCAGTTACGCAGAGGAGAGTGGTAATCGAGCAGCCACAAGAGAATTCAAGATCAACGAATCTATGGTGCTTGGTGCGTTTGGTTAATGAAATCATGCATTCTATCCATCGGAGTAAGGACTCGTGTGGCACAGGAACATCGGGCAGATTACAAGGAAAAGCTGGCTATCTTCGGCTCCTACTGCAGTAAAAAGATTGCCAACAAACACAACCACGTCACCAACATGGACGATGTGCCGCTCACTTTTGACATCGCGGTGAACCACACTGTAGAGAAGAAGTGGACCAGATACTTCCATTTAACGCTGTTATTTGTCAAATTCCCATTACAGGGGCCCTAAAGGTGATTGTAATCACAATAAGCAGGAAATACCTTCAACAGCATACTACATTCAAGTGTTTGAACAGAGAGGACCTAGAAAATCACAGTAAGGAAGAAATTCCTTAACACCTGTAAAGCCTTATCTGGTGACAAACCTCCATGTTGCAGGAAGAACACAAGGTTCTGTGTTTTGCTAATGACATGGCTGTGTTTGTTTGTTATGAATGAAAAATATTTATAATAAACTGTATTTTATTTCCATCTTAAATTCATTTACATTGTGTTTGCCAGCCATATCCTAGCTAATTGTTGACCTAGGTTGCATACTCTGCTATGCAACTTCTTTTAAGTCGTAGTTCATACAGTTACATGGCTTACTTGCATGTGCACTCCCGATGTAGAAAGACACAGGGCGAGACGGTGTGTCGTCCAAAGATTATTCTCTGACATTATGCTATGACCGTGCTTCTCATTCAGTGACTGAGATTTTTTCCATTTTTGGGGAACGTCATACTCTCTTCAAATGTGATGAAGTTTATCTTAAGGCGTAGAAAAAAAAGTAGTGTGTTTCCGGTAACCCGAACGACCGAGAATTTCTACGTCGAAAAAATACTTTACGGTCGGCATTTTTTTCAAACAACCCTCTACATTTTTGTGTAGAGGGTTTACATCGGTACAAACTCTCGCGATATTCACGTTGAGCGCGTGCGTCGTTTGGCCTGTCGTCTGTCAACAACATTGAAACATGGCAGTGGCCGCGATCTCCGACGACAGTTTAAACCGCGTTTTCTGTGTAACAGTCGCATGCTCGCACCATAATGTTAAGAAAATAGCATCCATTGATGTATCTAAAAATAAAGCGAACTATTTGATGAACACCACGGGCTAAGTAAAAACCGAGGGCGGAGGAGGATGGCGGAGGAGGACGGTGGAGGCGGCGGCGCGCCCCGGCCCCCGAGTCCGGAGCGGGAAGAAAACTAAATAGGTGGCGGCGACGCCGGCCGTGGAGCGGCGGGTTCAATGTCTTCTTGTTTTATGTTTTGTGGTTATTTTGTTGAAATTTTTGATGGGGAAAAAAAAAAGATTAAAAAAAAAAAAAAAAACTATGTCTGACCTACCGATCCTATGCTGAAATTTCAAAATCTTTTTTGTTTGGCCTAATAAGGAGGGGATCAGGTTAGGTCACTGGTTGCCACCTTTCATAAAACAAAGGAATTCTTTATCCACAACCTCAGGTGAGATGAGAGTCTGGCTCCACTCTGAAGGCCCAACAAACACAAACAATGAAACACAATGTTCCACACTTCTCGTTCCAGAACCCATCCACTGCTGGATTTAACTTTGTGTGTCTGTGTGTTTCGATTTCCTTCATGTTCGGTGACATTCCGGCTGTCGCTCATCTCGGCATGCGTGCGCATATGCACACGTGTGCGTGGTTGGGCACCCGCGTGTTGCGTGCGTGTGTGTATATGCTTGCACGTGCACATATGCTTGCAAGCATATACACACACGGGTCAAGCATATACACACACGGGTCGATCGCAGGAGTTTCGTCGCTTCAAAAGTCGATCTTCGGTCAAATATGTAGCAAGTTGACCCAAGTAAGTAACCTCTGCAGCTCACATGCAGTCAGTGCCCTGTTTTGAGTGGCAACAACGGAATACAAACCAGATTTGAAGAAGATTGTTCAAGAGATGGAATGCGAAAAGTCCCTGCACTAAGGCACTAAACAACATGCATAGCAAGAGAAAAACGTGATTATATTTTTATTTGTGGACTTCATTGTTGAAAATGACTGGTCTGTGGTCTTAGTACTGTAGGAGTCAATTTTTGTCATTATCATGTTGGTGTATGACATTTACAATAAATGTGGCTGAGCAGAGGCAGGTGTGTGTGTGTGTGTGTGTGTGTGTGTGTGTGTGTGTGTGTGTGTGTGTGTGTGTGTGTGTGTGTGTAAGGGATGCGGTGATGTTAATGTGTGTCCATGTGCATGATGTGGCTCTTTGCAGTAACACAGTCAAAAAAAATGGTTATTAAGGGGTGTTCACACGGCACACATTTGCTCCGGCGCTGCACCGATGTATTTTGTTGCGATATATTTTACACCGGAGCAAATTTGTGGAGCGGTCACATGTACAAAGCCGCTGAGCATGTCAGCACTGGCGCAGCGTCGGTGCAGCTCAACTTGCGCTCACACGGCAGTTTCTGCAGCGGAGCAAAATGACAGAAAACAAATGAGCTGTTGTGTTGGTTCTTTTTAAAACTTACACACAACTCAAGTAACTACTGTACAGGCACGTCCTTCTCCTTCTCGGTCTCCGTGCCTTCTGCTCGAGAGTGACGCCCCCCCGAAAACGTAAATCAACGATGACTTCAATGACACTCAGAAAAGCAAACATGTGATGCGCCAAACAAAAAAATCAAGAGAGGAAATCACAAAATAAATTCTATGGGGGGCGGGGGGTTGTGAATACACAACAAAGCAACAAAATACACAAACAACGCCGAGACAGTCTAGTCTCCTACAAAAGGAAAGATGACGTTTGGGGACTATTCCCCCCCACCCCCGTTCTAGTTGAGATGGTCTAACCCAGGGGTGTCAAACTCAAGTCCTGGAGGGCCGCTGATGTTGTTATTAAACAAACACATGACGGAAGTCCGACAGAGCACGAAAGCAACGCATTCTCACGGTACGTAATCAACTCTTCTCATGCGTAGCGAGGGTACTCCCCCCTCGCAAACGAGCATTTGCTCCGGAGCAAATTGAAGCGTTCACACGTAGCATTTTACATCGGTGCTGCCCCGCAAACAAGCATTTGCTCTGGAGCAAATTTTTAAACCACCTCCCGGAGGTGGATCAAATTTGCTCCGGTGTAAGCTGTTTTCCGGGGCTACACTGGAGCAAATTTGCACGTATGAACGCTCTACTGGCGCAGCGCTGGAGCAAATCTTGCGTGTGAACACACCTTTAGTCTCTGAGTGGTTGGCCATCCCTGGTTTTCACTGTACAACATTTTTCAGATTGAATGGCAAGCATAGAATGCAGATGATTTGGAAGGGGTAATCTCTTAAAATGCAACTATTTAGTTGATCTCTGATTGTTTTATCAGCATTTTTGAGTTTATTTTTTTTAATTACAGGCATTTAGAAGATGTCATCTTTGATTGTGGGTGTCAGATCCGCTGGCTGCAGCTATGGCAACAAAGGGGAGACATGGGGCTAAGTAGCCAACAATTATACTGTGATAATAGCTCAAAGAAGATACTGCTGCAAGAAATGAACATAAGCAAATGCGGTAAGTTTACATACACAGTATGTTTTATATACTGTGTCTGACGTTGCATGTGTTATGTTGCTCTGAGCACAATATACAGTTGTAAGAAAAAGTATGGACTGTGAACCTATTGAAATGACCTGCATTTCTGAAATAAAATGGTGACCTGATCTTCATCAAGTCACAACAAAAGACAAACTAAATCAGCTTGAACAAATACTACACAAACAATTACATGTTTTTATTGGTCACACCATGTGGACATTCACAGATCAGTGCAGAAATAAGTGGAGCCGCTTTTGCATTGTACCGGTCCCACACCGAAATGGCTTTGCTTGGCCCTGAGTAGTTGCCTTTCCATAATTTTTTTGTGGGGAGCGTCTGGTTGCAATGCAATCACTCTTCAAACCCTCCTCCAAGTTAGTTCTAAACTGCAGGTCAATTGGGGCCCCGACGTCACTGTCATATGATTGGCTGACAAATGTCAGCCTTTCTTTAATTAAGCGATGAGGAAAGGAACTCCACTGCACAAGCCCATTTTTCCTGGCCAGTGAAACAGAGCTGTTGGCCGCTGCCAAGTGATAAAAAATCCAGTATATTGTATATAGCAAATATGATTGAGCTTTACAACAATACTTAACCCAATTAGCATTTTTTTAAATCTGGACACTGATGAAATAATTGAAGCTTGGGGTAAAAATTTGCACGAATACACGGATTACCTGCTGATTCGCTTTAATGTGAATGAGATGTCTCCAGCCTCCAGTATGAGGGCGGCTGCCGGAGAGTGAGGACGACTAGCTGATGAATCACAGAGGTGGTGAAGTGAATGAGACCAAGCTCCTATTCAGTGTGAATGACAGCTTGCGGCGAGCCAAAGCTTCAGTATTTCATCTGTACATACAGTATGAAGTTGTAAATATGGTTAAGGGTTGTTGTAAAATCCAATCCATGTGATTGGAAACTTTACTTTTGTCTTGACATCAGCCCGCGAGCAGGCAGCTGTGTTTGCCTCGCTTAAACCTTAGAAAGGATTTTTCATCAATCAGTGCATTTAAAAGATGTGTTTAAGTTTTGTTTACGGAATCGTTCATTTTCCCCCTATGGGGAAAAGAGAAACACCTACTTCTGGAGACATGTCTGCATTTCGCCACAGAGGACAGCCTCGTTAACACACGGGTCAGTCACACTACGTGTTCAGACTGCATTTTACTTTTATTCTTGCTATTATTATCATCTAATCAGTGTGTTAGAGTTAGTATTATTAAATGAAAACATTGGAACTGTCATTTTTAAAATACCCTATTTTCAGCACAATAAAACATTTCGGATTATCAGCCGTCCCTTCAATGAATGGCATATTTTAAAACTGTTTTCATGTAGAGGGCGCACTGCATTGTAAGGCGCATAGAATAGAAGCTACAATAGTGACTGAAGTTGCGCTATGCATCCACTAGATGGTGCTACGCTAAAGAGAATACAATACAATACAATACAACTTTATTTATATAGAGCCTTCACAACCTCTGCAGCTGTAACAAAGCCATTCGAACTGGTCACAAACACAGACTTGAAACATAACTACAAATGACATTACAAAACAATAAATAAAAGACAAAAGTTATGAAGACAATTGATTCAACAAAAAGACAGACAAACCTCTTGGACTCAAACCCACAAGGGGCTAAATAAATAATATTACTTGTCTACTTCTTCATTGATTTAGTCAGTAGTTAACTATGCTTTTGGTATTATCTTTGTTTCATAATGGCTGCGCTGAACTCATAAAGTAGTTGTCTGTTTGAGTGTTTGTTGGCGAATGCACACGTCAATTTGTGTCGGGCAGAAACATTTCAGGTTACAATTGGTTTTTGCTAATAATCACCACTAGATGGAAAAGCAATACTAACAAGAGAAAAAACTCAGCATAATATAAAGAGATTCTAACTCCATACATAAGGTGCATCGGATTATAGGGTGCACTGCTGGCTTTTGAGAAAATTGAATGCTTTTAGGTGTGCCCTATAGTGCGGAAAATAGCGTCATAATTGCTTTCTCGACTGTGGCTGGCTATCTCCTTCAAGCTCGGGTCCTCTCCCAGAGGCCTGGGAAGTTTAGGGTTCTGCTGAAGAGCTGAGCTTTTCCCAGGACTACACTCTTTTGTAAGGTGATGTCGGACGTTATGTATGGTATCTGTTGGAGCCATCCTCCCAGTTTGGTGGTTAATGCCAGTGCCCCGGGCCTACTGGCATTACCGTTGCCTTTGCCACCCACATTTTCTCAATTTTTTTTCCTTCAGTCATTGGTATTTCTCCAGCTTTTTGTGTTCCTTTTTCCGGATTTTGCTATCGTTTGGAATTGCAGCCACCACTGTCTTCTGATGTTTTTGCAGCAGCACTATGTCTGGCTGATTAGTTATTACCAGTGTACCAGTTCAGATCTGAAAGTTGCATCGGGTTTTTGGCCTGTTTTTTTTTTTTTTTCAACCACCTTTAATTCTGTATCTTGTCTTGATTATGGGACCTCTAGTCCATACTTGGTACGTATGTTCTGGAACACTATTCCTGCAACCTGATCATGTAGCTCCATGCATGCCTCGCCTGCCAGCACCTTACGCACTCTTGTGATATGCTGCATTGTCTCTGGGACTTTCTTACACAGCCTGCACCTTGACTCCTGTCTGACGTGGCAGACCACAGCCTCTATTGATCTTGTCTTGAGGGCCTGTTCGCGTGTTGCTATGATTATGAGTTACTATGTGTTGCTTTTCAGTCCAGCCTGTTTTAGCCACTGGCAGGTTTTTTGCAATCTCTGCCACTTCTTCAATTTGTCGGTGCTACATGCCATGCAGCGGCTTGTCTTTCCATGGCTGTCCTTACAAGGCTTCTGTTGCCTGAGGCATTTGCTCAGCAGGTCAAACCCTGGGGGCCATCTTCTTGATGTAATTATGGAGGCTTTTGCTTCTTCAGTTTATTTATTTCATACCCAAGCCTGTCGAAGACAACAGATACTGCTGAATATATCAGTGGTGTTCTCCGTTGGGATATTTACCGGTAAGCTTATTTGCTCTTGTACTAAGCTGTTCTGTTTGTGGGGCATGGAACTCAATTTTGTTTTTTGGGGATGATGAACCACCCTCACTGTGTGCTGACTCTCTCTTTTTTTAGCCTCTTTGGACCACAGATGAGATACATTGTGTGATTCTTTAGGTGGTTCAGCACAAGGCGTTCGAAGGACTTCATGACCACAGACGTCAGAGCGACAGGCCTATAGTCATTCAGTTCCGATGTTGCCGATTTCTTGGGAACTGGGATGATGGTAGACTGTTTGAAGCAGGATGGGACCTCACACAGCTCCAGGGATCTGTTGAAGATTTGTGTGAAGACCGGAGCCAGCTGGTCAGCGCAGACTTTCAAGCAGGAGTGGGACACTTTGTCGGGCCCCGCAGCTTTCTTGAGCTTCTGCTGCTTGGAGAGCCGTCTCACGTCCTGTTCGTGGATCTGTAGGGCAGAGAATGAGTGTGGGGGCGTGGATAGAGTAGTTTCTGGTAGAGGTGGGCGTATGTGGGAAATGGGGGGTGTCTTTTTCAAATCGGCAAAAAACATGTTTACTTCATCAGCCAGACCCTTATTGTTCACTGCTTGGAGGGAAGTTATTCTATAGTTTGTGATTGCTTTCAGGCCATTGCACACAGATGCGGAGTCGTTAGCAGAGAACTGTTTTTTCAGCCTCTCCGCATCTTCTCTTTGCGATGTTAATTTCCTTGGTCAATTGGTTTCAGACGTGTTTGTCCAGTGCCCGATCTCCACTTCTAAATGCGGCCTCTTTCTCTTTTCTATGTTGCCTGAGTTTGGGAATGAACCATGGCTTGTTATTGTTGAAGGAGCGGAAGGACTTCATTGGTACACACATGTCCTCACAGAAACTGATGTTACAGTGTCTGTGTATTCATCCAGTGTGCCCGTTGAAGTTTCAAAGACGCCCCAATCAGTGCAGTCTAAGCATTCTTGTAGAGCTAGCTTTGCTTCATCTGTCCATTTTTTCACAGTCTTAACAACCGGTTTAACACATTTGAGTTTCTTTCTGTATGTAGGTATTAAGTGTATTAAATTGTGGTCAGAAAGACCCAACTCTGCACGGGCGATCGATCGGTATGAATTTTTGATTGTTGTATAGCAGTGGTCTAGAATGTTGCCTTCTCTGGTGAAACAGTCGATGTGCTGCTTGTATCTGGGAAGTTCACGGTTAAGATGTGCTCGATTAAAATCGCCCACAATGATCAGAGGTGACTCTGGGTATTTTAGTTCGAGTTTGTTTACTTGTTCAGCGAGCGTTTGTATCGCCGTGTTAGCGAGCGTTAGCTTGTGGCGCAATGTAAACACCGACTAGTAAAAAGGAGGTGAACTCACGTGGCGAGTAGAATGGCTTGCAGTTTAAAGACAGCGACTCCAGGTCCGGGCTGCAGTGTGCGTCGAGCTTTGTGACATCGGTGCACCATTCTTCGTTGATATAGAAGCAAATCCCACCACCCTTCGATTTCCCTGATAGCTCCGTGTCGCGGTCGGCTCGAAGAAGGCGGAATCCGGGTAGATGTAGCGCGGAATCCGGGTGGCGGTCACTGAGCCAAGTTTCAGTGAAGCAGAGCGCAGCAGAACGTGCAAAGGTTTTGTTGGTCTTTGTCAGGAGAAGTGCATCCATCTTGTTTGGCAGAGAACGTAGATTTGCAAGATGGATCGATGGGAGCGGGGTTCGAAATCCACGCTGACGTAGCTTGACTAGCACGCCGGCTCGCTTCCCCCTCCTCCGACGGCGTTTCCATGCTCCGTACAGCGCAGCCGCTCCGCTTGCGATTAGCTCCAAAAAACCTTGTGGATTTTCGTGTGCTGGTGAAAAAAGTCAGAGCGTAGATTCCCCAAGCAAGCAACTTTTCCCTTGTGTAATTAAGCCGCTCAGGGTCGCCAAAAACTAACGAAAATGACAAAAACAGGGATAATACTACGGAGCGTGTAACCGAGGCTGCGATACCTGTCGGCGCCTGATGACGTGCGTTGAACACTCGTCTGTGTTCACTGTCTTGTCCAGGGAAGCCAAGACAAAAGTATTGTCATGGCACCATTAAGATGATGAGATTTATTTGAAAAAAACATGGAGGGACACCGTTCACAGATCTGTCAAGGGAGAACCAATTAACTTTGTAACTTGAAGTTCTACTCCATTTATACAATTTTTTCCAGATCTTCCAGAGATCACCATCAGCCAAACCAACATCACAGTTACCGAGGGCGACAGTATAACTACAACATGTAATGGCTCTGGATCCCCATTACCTAAAGTGGACTGGTCTGCTTCTGGTTTGCACTCCTTTTATTCACAAAAGGTAGGGGTTTAAGTAAATGAAACTTTTTTTTTTGGGGGGGGGGTAGGAGTGTTTGTTATACTGTATTAGAATTTGGTGGAACAGAAAAACGCCAACATTCAGGTCAGACTTCAACTAAAATTCAGCTTTGCCACTACTCTCATTTTAAAATAAATAAACAGCATGCATGCAAATACAATATAATTGGGATCGTATGTATTTTCACCAGCCACAAAATCATGACCATTTACACAAAATAATCCATCCATTAAAGGTGCTCTATAAATTATTCTGCACTTCGAAAGTGTGTATATGCACATATGGGTGATTCACCAATATCCTCGCTGTGATTGGCTGGTGACCAGTTCAGGGTGTGCCCCCCATTCTGCCCGTTGACAGCTGGTATAGGCTCCAACACGCTCGTGACCCTAGTGAGGATAAACTGATTAGTAAATGGATGGATGGACCAATACTGTATCTACATATTTGAATTTGTGTGTATTTCAGGAACAACTTTAAAACATTCTCAGATCATCCGACTGCGCAACTTTTACCTAAACTGCACAACACATTCAAACTGCAGTCATTTATAAAATCAATAAGAATAACTTCAATGATAATAACTGAACTTGACCCTCTCCTATTGAGTTGGCTAATGTCCTACATAACTGTGAAGGCACTTCTCATCGCTTTCACCATTTTGCCGTTCAAATGTGTGTATGCGCGTATGTACTATATGAATGAATCAGGTGATGTCTGTGTCCACAGTTGTCACTTAACGAACAGAGTAAGCTTATCACACACCTGGAAAAGACACAGAACCTCTGCCATTTCCTGGTTAATCCAAGCCTGAGTATACATGCACGTTCCAAAAAAAAATTTCCTGACATTTACAGTTGACAAACAAACGTAAAAAATACCACACACAAAAGGGTTCTTGCCTGTGACATAACACCAACCATATTTATATTTTCTCTTCGTAGTTCCAACAAGGGCGGCCCGGTGATCGACTTTTAGCCCGTCAGCCTTACAGTGCAGAGCTACAGGGTTATAATAATGGATGAATGTTTGTCCGTTAGATTATTGCTTTATTGTCCTCTGAGATGCAGTGAGTCTCCCTGTTTCAGTCTCTTTAAAACTGAAGCTCATCAGATTCAGAATAATCTTTGTTGGCCAACAGTCATGGCAATTTTCCGCGGATACGCGGAAATCCGCCGTTTTATTTCTTAAATTGATCATTTTTGTGAATCGTCTAAATCCGTTGAGAAAATTTTAGGGGGGGTCAGGTACCTTATCGTCAAGTTTTCACGAGCTCTCCCGATCAGTCTTTCCATCTTCCAATTGTAAACAGCCCTGCGATTGGACGTGTATGATGTCTTACTTGTTGTGATTGGTCGCTATATCGGCAAATGTAAATCACAACCAATCCGTGTTCGCCTTCCTAAACC